GGGGGCACACCGTGACAGTCTTACCCTGTAGATAACAAGCCAGTTTGTGTTTTTAAATGCTTTTCGAGATTTACAAAGAAACACAATTTGCTGGCCCAACAAATACCAAATTTAAGCTGAGCTTACATTTTCTATTGCAGGGCCCTATGCTATCTGAAACTGTGCCAGTATGAAGAGGCCAGACATGACTGTGACTGTGCCCTGCAACAGGACGCCTCCAATATCAAGGCTTTGTACAGGCGAGCTCAGGCCTACAAAGGATTAGAGGTAAATGAGAGGATATTAACGGACAAAGCATAACTGCACCGCCGCTGAATTTCTGTGCCACCAGCAGCTTGTGATGTAATGTAGAAAGTGTCTGCAAGACAGGAAGTGGTGATCACTGGGTGTGGGAGCAGGGGATTTCACAATCCAGCCATGTACTAGATGGTAAAGGTTCATCAGTATTACCCGGCCATACAGTGCATGGTGTATGTTTCTGGAAGTCACAAGTGTCATTGAGAATGTGCAACTACTAAGTGTTCCATGGAGTGTCATCTTCTACTGTCCAGAGGAATGGCTCTGTTTTTAATTAATATTATTTAAAATAATTCAGCCTCTACAAGTTCCTGAAACATGAACCGGTGTGATCATAAAGGAATCATGCTGCAGGACATTTATATCTTCGATGTGTTTTCTACATTTCACTGTGCAAACCATTGTGAACTACTCCAGCGCTACATACCTTCACGGCAAAGCACATTAAGTGCGCAGTCTAGAGACCAGTTGTATGAGACTCCACAATAAGCCCTGAGGAAGGGGGAGGCTACATCCCTCAAAACAAATTAGCTGTATACTATGAGATCTATTTATAAATCTTTCGCTCAGCCTTATGCCGGGCGAATGCCATTTGTATATTCTTGCCACTAGATGGAGCCAAGGAGCATAGGAAATTCCCATCACTAGATAGAGCCAAGGAGCATAGGAAATTCCCATCACTAGATAGAGCCAAGGAACATAGGAAATTCCCATCACTATATGGAGCCAAGGAGCATAGGAAATTCCCATCACTAGATGGAGCCAAGGAGCATAGGAAATTCCCATCACTAGATAGAGCCAAGGAACATAGGAAATTCCCATCACTAGATGGAACCGAGGAGCATGGAAAATTCCTATGCTCTTTGTCTCCATCTTGTAACAAGACTATACAGGTGAAACTCGAATAATTAGAATATCGTGCAAAGTTCATTTATTTCACTAATGCAACTTAAAAAGTGAAAAATATATGAGACTCATTACATGCAAAGCAAGATAATTCAAGCCGTGATTTGTCATAATTGTGATGATTATGGCTTACAGCTCATGGAAACCCCAAGAACCCCAAATCCACAACCTCAAAAAAGTAGATTATTACATGCAATCAATAAAACAAGGATTGTACATAGAACAATATCGGACCTCTGAAAAGTACAAGCATGCATATGTACTCAGTACTTGGTTTGGGCCCCTTTTGCAGCACTTACTGCAATTACTTTTGCACGATATTCTAATTATTCGAGTTTCACCTGTACAAATGGCATTCACCCAGCATAAGGCTGTAGATCTCATAGTATACAGCTAAATTGTTTTGAGGCATGTAGCCTCTCCCTTCTTCAGGGCTTATTGTGGAGTCTTAAACAACTGGTCTCTAGACTGCGCATTTGATGTGCTTTGCCTTGAAGGTATGTAGTGCTGGAGTAGCAGTATCAGGTGCAAACTCCTTGCAGATGAGAGATGATGGCTGATTAGCTACAGGTTACTGTACTCTGCATAATGCTATTTCCTTGTATATTATGCTTCATTCCTTCTGTCCTAATGGTGTTTGTGTGCGGTATGGTATTAGTGGAATCCTGTTACATAGCTGGTAGATTTATACGGGGCGGGATACTGTAAATTCCTTGACATGAATAACTCATCAGTCTACAGAGAAATCTGTGACCACCCTTTACTTGCACCATAAATATCATTTACATTTATGAGATCTTTTGTGCTCTCTACTAACAGTCCAAGCAAGACAATCTTTCTTGTCTCGTCTTCCCCTGGCTCCATGCATGCCGATAAAAGAGGAATGAATATTTCATTAAATGCACAACATTCTTCTTTATGTTATATGAGGTAAACAGGATGGTGCAGAGACCAGGAAGTCAGAGGGGAACGATAAAAGTGACTTGGGCTGCCTCATCACTCTACTCTTGTCCCGTAGATGAGCTTATTTCAGTTTTATGCACATTTTGGAATATACAGTCTTACAAAAGAGCTACATCAGAGGCACTGATTATATAGTGTCCACACACTGTACAATCCAGTTGATGGATTTCCCATTTTGATTGCTTTTAAATGATTTTTAATGATGATCATTGTCTGAATTTGGTTTAATGGTGACATTAGCATTGTCTCGAGATATGTTCCATACAAAAGGCCACACAGGTAAACCAATTAGAATGCCCCAGCGACCTCTTGTAAATTGAAAACCACAGATATACTCTGACCACACAGGTACAGTGGCTGAAATAAGAGTGCAGTGCAATGTGAGACATGGATGCTGTCAGTGAGCGGTAGCATAACATGGAAATAATAACACCCTTAATAAAGAGGAAAGGCTTTTACTTTTCATGCACAGAGGACCAAACCACCCATGGTCACAGTCCAAAACCTCTGTCCTTCTAGTATTACTTGGAACCACACGTGGTCACAGTCCAAAACCTCTGTCCTTCTAGTATTACTTGGAACCACACGTGGTCACGTTCAAGAACTTCTGTCCTCTAGTGCTACTTGGAACCACATACGGTCACAGTCCGGGGCTTTTCTACTTCTTTTGCTATTTGAAACCACATATGGTCACAATCCAGGACCTCTGCCCATCTAGTGCTATTTGGAACCACACAAGGTCACAGTCCAGGAAATCTGTCCTTCTAGTGCTACTCAGAACCACACTTGATCACCATCCAAGACTTCTGTCCTTTTAGTGCTATTTGGAGCCACATGTGGTCACAGTCCAGGTCTTCTGTCCTTCTAGTACTACTTGGGAAAAATATTTGGTCACAGTCCAGGACTTGTGTTTTTCTTTTGCTATTTGCTAGGAAATCTGTCCTAGTTCTACTCAAAACCACACATGGTCATAGTCCAGGACATACGTCCTTCCAGTGCTACTCAGAGCCATGCATGGTCATAGTCCTGGACATACGTCCTTCTAGTGCTACTCAGAGCCATGCATGGTCATAGTCCTGGACATACGTCCTTCTAGTGCTACTCAGAGCCATGCATGGTCATAGTCCTGGACATACGTCCTTCTAGTGCTACTCAGAGCCATGCATGGTCACAGTCCAGGATTTCTGTCCTTCTAGTACTACTTGGAGCCACACATGGTCACATTCCAGGTTTTCTGTCCTTCTAGTACTACTTGGAACAACACATGGTCACAGTCCATGACCTAGGTCCTTCTACTACTACTTGGAGCCACACTTGGTCACAGTGTAGGACTTCTGTCCTTCTAGTTCTTTTGGGCTCAACAGGCACCGATTTTGCTTCTTCTGTAGCAATTGCCAGTTTTCACAGGAACGGGTTGCTGCTTAGTGCTCATTCTTTCTTAGCACAAACTTTGCATTGACATTTGCTAAGGTAGAAAATTCATACAAATGCCATTCCAGTCAGATGTCATGATAAACATAAGGGGGCTGGCATTGCGTTTTATAAACGGGTGCCTAGAATAGTGTCAGCATTCCTTTTTTTCTATGGACAATGACTTGAAGTATTTAAGAAAATACATCAGCATGACAACAATGCACCTTCTGGAAACTCTCCAACACCAACATAGACATAAAATAGTTTTTCTTCTGTAGAGTACTAGAAGGTTGCAACCCCTGTAAGATTTTTCTGTGTCCCTGTTGCAGATATTTCTTCACTTTCTGTCTGTTGTCAGGACAGGAACATGTTTGGAAAACGGAGCCCCAGATTGGCTTGACATACACTTCAATCTGTCTGAAGGAGAATTGTGTCAGTCTGCCTTTTCCACACCAGCCAGTCAGAGCCTTCATTGCATTCTCCCATGCTGCATAGTGAGCTTGTAGGGAATAAAAAACTGAAAGTTCCTGGCTCAGACATTTCGATAAATAAGACCCAGGGCGCCTTTTTGTTTGTCAGCAAGATCAGAACAAGAGGGCTCTGTAATCATGTGTTAGACTAATGGTGAACATTTTTTTTTTTTTTCATTTTAGAGTTACCAAGATTGTGCCAGTGATCTCCAGAAAGTGATCTCTCTGGATCCAGCAGTCATGGAAGCCAAGAACCTATTAGAAGAGATCACACCCTTTTTATCGAATCGTCTCAAAGCCAATAAATCTGACAAACAGAGGAAGAAGATCCCGATTAAGGAGGTAAGTCACTATACATAGTACTAACAGAACATATGATGAAGACCTGTGTAGAGGCGTTTATAAACCCAACGCTAGGAAAGTTTTCCTTTGCAGTGGGGCTGCTTCTGTATGCCTAGCGGACGGGGAAAAGCTGTTTTACTTACTTACCTGATCCGCCCTCCCCTTTATGAAATCAATGGTCCTTCGACCGCTGGAGTGAAGGGAAGGAGAAGAGACTTTGGGCACTGGTCCAGCAGCCCCAGGGGGAACAAGCGGGAGTAGAGGTTAGGTAAGAAGGGAACCTATTAGCCTGTATGTATACAGTATATACATTTTTAATGCTTGAATTGAATTTTTATGCTCTCGCCATATCACCCTTTTTCTTCCTTTACCACTAGTCACTGTCACAGAACAAACAAGTAGCCAGCATTATTTGGAAAATGGCGACATAAAATGAACCAAAACCACTGTCAGAAAAAGAACAAATTAAATATTTTTTATCATATCTAAATTGCTCAATATCATTGTAGAAGAATGGAGATTGATCTTCATTAGGTGTGTGAAAGAAATCAGAAAATTAGGACCTGTGTGTGGACGGTCACCTTTAGCAGGCCTGAAAAAGAATACCCCTGTATTGTTCAGTGCTGTTTGTCAGCATGAGGCTCTGAAAAGGGGTTTTCCCTTAGACCAGAGACCCTAATCGTGTCCATTCTGTGTTAGTTATGGTTCTAATGAGGCTGGTGACCCTGTATTCATTAGATGTGGTATGCAGCACTATCACTCTGTATTATAGAAGCCTTGTTCTACATCAGATGCTGCAGCAATTACACCAGATGTTCATGCCAGGCATATACTTACTGGGTTCCTTCAAGTTCCCAAGAATCATACAATGGGCCTTGCTGCAGCTAAAGTGAAGCCAGTCATCTGTCAGTCATTCCCGCTATAAGTATGCGTGACAATGGGAACTCTTAATGTAACAGACATCAACGGCGATGGATAGGGTTTTTGAAGATAAAAATACACAAAGCTGGAGGCTGAGTATATTTTACATAGATCACTGAACTCCATGGTTAATTCTTATATCCTTATTTTTTGTTTAGGTCAATTATAATGTAATACTACACTATGACCCCTAGATGAAGCTGAGGAGCCTAGGAAATATTCATGAACGATCTTAGCATATTTTATTTTCCAGTCAAATGTAATGTAATACCCCAGTATGGCCACTAGATGGACCTGAGAAGCATAGGGAATAAATACTTATTTCCTTTCCTCCTAAGCTTCAGCTAGTGGCCATAATGGATTATTACATTACATTGTATTCGATCTGGAAAGAAAATATAACAAGAATGTTCGTAAACTGTCTCTCCTCTCCTCTCCTCTCTCCTCTCTCTCTCTCTCCCCTTTCTCTCCCCTCTCTCTCCCCTCTCTCTCTCCCCTCTCTCTCCCCTCTCCCCTCTCTCTCTCCTCTGTCTCTCTTTCTCTCTTCCCCCCTAAATAAATATAATTAACAATTAAAGTCCAAAATCCATGCCAGTGTCTGCACAAAAGTGCCTTAAGAGCAATGTGAGCAAAACCGGATCATATTATTTGGTGTTACAAAAATCCAATTTTCCTTTACTCTTGTAATGTTTTCATTCCTTGTGATGTGCACTTCCTGTCGACTCTTTGTATGAACTTCCTGTGTATGTGCACGGGTTCCAGCAGCTGGACAGCTTGGTGTTCCTGCAGAATGTGCCAGCATGCTGTGTGTCAGTATGATATTTATTAAGACTCTAACATTTTTGGACCTGACAGTTGTAACTTGCAGCCTGATTTTGGACTTTCTATATATCACTCGAATAATAGAGAGCTGCACTGAAAATGTACAATCTGAGGAGACCACCATATACTCTTTATAAGAGCAGCACCTCTAGAATTGTTTATTACTCATCACATGTATCCAGCGCAGACATTTAATAATAACATATTTCGATGTAAGGTATCAGGGTGGACGGGGACTGGGCAGCTTTCTGGAAGTGTGTTGCATTCTATTTGAGGTCCTTCACCATGAATTTCTGGAAAGTCTTCCTACAACATTGAGGCTGTTCACATATTCTGGAGCCTTTTACTAGAAGTGTCTCCTATTAATTCAGCTCGTGGTTGCAGAAATCTATTCATGTATTGAAGGATGATTGTAAGTCCATTACATGTTTAGTAGATGGGTGACCCCGGGAGGAGGTCTGTTCCTGCTCTGATTGGATTCCAGCTGAAAATAGCACGTGTACAGCAGTCTGCTAACTCCCAGTCCTGCTCCGGCTTGAGTGAGCCCATTACTGGGCAGGACTGGGAATTGTCTGTACCAGGAGATGTAGTATAGATGCCGTGCTGCTCATATCAGTCTGATATCCCATCCATACTCCATCTACAATTATCTCTTCTTACCTGTTCTTACTGTCTCCTTAAGACTGTATTCTCTTATAGGCAAGGTTCTTGTACTTGGTGTATATGGTATAGTCATTATGCCAGTCCCATTGTGTCCTGTTGAAGATGTTGGTACAATATGTCAGTCCTAATAAAATTGATATTACTATAAAGGAGGTTGCCCTGAACAATCATTGTGAAGTGTGACTGTGTGTTACTAAACATTTATAGGGGCCACCGTGAAAACTAACACACAGTGGCATTCTTACAGATAGAGCAAAGTAACAACTGAGGGCACATCTAGAACCAGAACAGAATGATAGTGTTTAGATTTAGGTTAGTCATAGATGAGAGATGACCAGCGCCCAGTCTGTTTTTCGTCCAGAATGGTGACAATTTCTTATCTATGGGAGGTCTGTGGCTCCACCGACTGGCACCGCCAAGAGGACTAGTTGATTAGACAAATAAACCTTTCCCAAATGTTACTGAAGCTGAAACCTGCCCAACCATAGACATACCTGTAAGCCTAGAAGAGTTGGCCTTACAAGTTTATTAAGCTCTTCACACATTTCTTTCTCTGATGGCATACAGATCATACATGCATCTTTAGGGCTATGGTATGTTTCCGGTTTTATTCTGGCTTCACCTACACCCTGCAGACATGACAGTGATCCCATTCTCCTGTACTGATCATTTGACCCCCTGTGAAGTCTGATTCATCCTTCCTCAGGACTTCTTCTTGCTGTACATTGTTTCCAGTTCTAGAGTCTTTGAAAACTGTATAAAGCTGAAAGATTTCTTTAACTTCTTTGTGTAACAATTACAACACACAAGGCTAATGAGCCAACACTGGACAAGTGCAGTGCTTTCCCTGATGACCAGTCAGTTCTAATTTGGGAGGAAAAACTGACCAGCTGCTATGTGTAACTCTTCCATACTCATCATCCACCCATGGTTCCTTCTGCTAATGCTTCCTCATAGGCTGGCAATGACTACTGTTTTTTGAAGTGCAATACTATAACATTCTGCTGTTATCCCCATAAGGAGCTTTTATCTCTTAGATCTGTGGTACACACACTATAGGCCTATTCGGATGGAAGCCAATTGCCTTACTAGAATATTTTTGGATTGTTAAAGGAACCTGGAGCACCCAGAGGGGACCCATCTTTGTACAAAGAGGAAATCATAGAAGCTGAGTGTCGATGATGTGGGGTCTGAACACTGCCCCCCATGCTCCGCAATGCCACAGTGTTAATGACTCAGTCAATGCCTATTACAATATTCTAATATCATCAGCATGGTAAAATAATGTGTAGCCATTGCTTTAATGTTAGAAAATGATGGAAAAAGCTTGTGAGTTGCTGTAGGATTAGGATCGGGAAGTTCATCTGTTATATGCTGCATCCTTGTGTAAATAGAATGATGAACAGAAAGTCATCCTATATGTTGTTTTCCAGGTGAATGAGGAGAAGGAAGACCCATCTAGTCACAGCAGCCTTAATGGACATGGAAATAGAGTAAGGAGGGATCGTCCTGCGATCACCAAGCCCAGCAACGCCTATGAGTTTGAGCAGCAGATGATAGAGATCAGAGCAGAGAAGGACCAGGAGCGCTGCGCTCAGCTTCTCTCCCTCATGGATCCAAAGGACTTAACAACATTTCTGAGCAATAAACTGGACACAGAGACCCTTCTACTCATGACACAGTCTATGAAACATCACATCCTGGAGGAGAACCCAACCCTGGTGTACCAGCACCTGTCTCACCTCAGCACAGCCGATCGCTTTACGGTATGGGTCACAGGATGAGTATTGGGGTGATTTACCCATGGAGCAAGGATGTTATCAGAAAAGTAACAGTGATAAAAGGGAGCCATGTGTATGAAAGTGCTTCAGGAGATGTGCGTTGCCTTTAATCAGTCAGATTCTCCTTTTTGTTTGCAGATCATTGTAAAAAGTATAAGGTGGAATCTGATTTGGTAGCTGTAGGTAACTCATGTCTTATCTCAGATACTTCCTAGCATGAGGATGATGGGTCACCTTCATAAAGCACAACGTAGGGTTTGTCTCATCAATGTTAGCCAGCAGTAAAGATGTCATGTGTCACTGAGGAGGGTTATCATAGTGCAGCATAAATTGGGGATCTGTCCCGTGTGATTGGTCACTGTGTTGTAAGTTATGTGCGAGAGGTGTGACGGGTAACCTGTAGGGGAGAGATGTGACGGGTAACCTGTAGGGGAGAGGTGTGACGTGTACCCTGTAGGGGAGAGATGTGACGGGTAACCTGTAGGGGAGAGATGTGACGGGTGACCTGTAGGTCGGAGGTGTGACGGGTAACCTGTAGGGGAGAGATGTGACGGGTAACCTGTAGGGGAGAGGTGTGACAGGTAACCTATAGGCGAGCGATGTGACGGGTAACCTGTAGACGATTGGGGTGACGGGTAACCTGTAGGCGAGAGGTGTGTCGGGTAACCTGTAGGCGAGAGGTGTGTCGGGTAACCTGTAGGCGAGAGGTGTGTCGGGTAACCTGTAGGCGAGAGGTGTGTCGGGTAACCTGTAGGCGAGAGGTGTGTCGGGTAACCTGTAGGCGAGAGGTGTGTCGGGTAACCTGTAGGCGAGAGGTGTGTCGGGTAACCTGTAGGCGAGAGGTGTGTCGGGTAACCTGTAGGCGAGAGGTGTGTCGGGTAACCTGTAGGCGAGAGGTGTGTCGGGTAACCTGTAGGCGAGAGGTGTGTCGGGTAACCTGTAGGCGAGAGGTGTGTCGGGTAACCTGTAGGCGAGAGGTGTGTCGGGTAACCTGTAGGCGAGAGGTGTGTCGGGTAACCTGTAGGCGAGAGGTGTGTCGGGTAACCTGTAGGCGAGAGGTGTGTCGGGTAACCTGTAGGCGAGAGGTGTGTCGGGTAACCTGTAGGCGAGAGGTGTGTCGGGTAACCTGTAGGCGAGAGGTGTGTCGGGTAACCTGTAGGCGAGAGGTGTGTCGGGTAACCTGTAGGCGAGAGGTGTGTCGGGTAACCTGTAGGCGAGAGGTGTGTCGGGTAACCTGTAGGCGAGAGGTGTGTCGGGTAACCTGTAGGCGAGAGGTGTGTCGGGTAACCTGTAGGCGAGAGGTGTGTCGGGTAACCTGTAGGCGAGAGGTGTGTCGGGTAACCTGTAGGCGAGAGGTGTGTCGGGTAACCTGTAGGCGAGAGGTGTGTCGGGTAACCTGTAGGCGAGAGGTGTGTCGGGTAACCTGTAGGCGAGAGGTGTGTCGGGTAACCTGTAGGCGAGAGGTGTGTCGGGTAACCTGTAGGCGAGAGGTGTGTCGGGTAACCTGTAGGCGAGAGGTGTGTCGGGTAACCTGTAGGCGAGAGGTGTGTCGGGTAACCTGTAGGCGAGAGGTGTGTCGGGTAACCTGTAGGCGAGAGGTGTGTCGGGTAACCTGTAGGCGAGAGGTGTGTCGGGTAACCTGTAGGCGAGAGGTGTGTCGGGTAACCTGTAGGCGAGAGGTGTGTCGGGTAACCTGTAGGCGAGAGGTGTGTCGGGTAACCTGTAGGCGAGAGGTGTGTCGGGTAACCTGTAGGCGAGAGGTGTGTCGGGTAACCTGTAGGCGAGAGGTGTGTCGGGTAACCTGTAGGCGAGAGGTGTGTCGGGTAACCTGTAGGCGAGAGGTGTGTCGGGTAACCTGTAGGCGAGAGGTGTGTCGGGTAACCTGTAGGCGAGAGGTGTGTCGGGTAACCTGTAGGCGAGAGGTGTGTCGGGTAACCTGTAGGCGAGAGGTGTGTCGGGTAACCTGTAGGCGAGAGGTGTGTCGGGTAACCTGTAGGCGAGAGGTGTGTCGGGTAACCTGTAGGCGAGAGGTGTGTCGGGTAACCTGTAGGCGAGAGGTGTGTCGGGTAACCTGTAGGCGAGAGGTGTGTCGGGTAACCTGTAGGCGAGAGGTGTGTCGGGTAACCTGTAGGCGAGAGGTGTGTCGGGTAACCTGTAGGCGAGAGGTGTGTCGGGTAACCTGTAGGCGAGAGGTGTGTCGGGTAACCTGTAGGCGAGAGGTGTGTCGGGTAACCTGTAGGCGAGAGGTGTGTCGGGTAACCTGTAGGCGAGAGGTGTGTCGGGTAACCTGTAGGCGAGAGGTGTGTCGGGTAACCTGTAGGCGAGAGGTGTGTCGGGTAACCTGTAGGCGAGAGGTGTGTCGGGTAACCTGTAGGCGAGAGGTGTGTCGGGTAACCTGTAGGCGAGAGGTGTGTCGGGTAACCTGTAGGCGAGAGGTGTGTCGGGTAACCTGTAGGCGAGAGGTGTGTCGGGTAACCTGTAGGCGAGAGGTGTGTCGGGTAACCTGTAGGCGAGAGGTGTGTCGGGTAACCTGTAGGCGAGAGGTGTGTCGGGTAACCTGTAGGCGAGAGGTGTGTCGGGTAACCTGTAGGCGAGAGGTGTGTCGGGTAACCTGTAGGCGAGAGGTGTGTCGGGTAACCTGTAGGCGAGAGGTGTGTCGGGTAACCTGTAGGCGAGAGGTGTGTCGGGTAACCTGTAGGCGAGAGGTGTGTCGGGTAACCTGTAGGCGAGAGGTGTGTCGGGTAACCTGTAGGCGAGAGGTGTGTCGGGTAACCTGTAGGCGAGAGGTGTGTCGGGTAACCTGTAGGCGAGAGGTGTGTCGGGTAACCTGTAGGCGAGAGGTGTGTCGGGTAACCTGTAGGCGAGAGGTGTGTCGGGTAACCTGTAGGCGAGAGGTGTGTCGGGTAACCTGTAGGCGAGAGGTGTGTCGGGTAACCTGTAGGCGAGAGGTGTGACGGGTAACCTGTAGGGGAGAGGTGTGACGGGTGACCTGTAGGGGAGAGGTGTGATGGGTGACCTGTAGGTGAGAGATGGTAACTGGAATTTGTCTTTTGTATCTGTTCCAGGTGACCGTCTCCCTCCTCAGCCAGACAGAGAAAGATGAAGTTCAGAGCGTCCTTGACTGTCTAGCAAAGAAACTAGACCCCAATGCCATATCCAGCCTGGCACAGCAATACAGACTCTGATCCTCGGACCTGCACACAGATTCTATGCACGGTTTGATTGGTCATATCATTAGGATGGAGAATCTATGCAAATCTCACTATCAGGTGACTTGAGGACTCATTCAGCATGGCTGTTCCAATGTAATGTCAATGTACCATCTTTTTATCCATGGCACATAAACATCCATTATGTCGTATGACATGTGATCAGTACAGGATGCTGAACCGGCTGCTCCATACAATGAGATATCAATTCCCCTGGACTTCATAATGATCACTGCTCCATATCTCCAACCGCAGTACCTGTGACAAGTCAACAGACATGGATCAAGTGCAGACAGACAGACAGACATTGCCTGCAACCCGCCACCAGAAACGCACGCCATGGGGATGGCTGCCAAAACGTAATTTCTATCCTGAAAAGTCCACTGCAACAGTTCTGTCCCTTCACATTCTGGCTATGCAACCTCAAGTAAAGCAAATACTTCTCCATACAATCATTCATTCTTCTGTACATCCATTGTCACCCCGAATCCACATTGCAGGGTCTGAGTGCATTTAATAAGCCAAATATCACCCCACAAAGTGCAGCAATCCCCATGGAACCAATCACTGGTCTTCCTTCCTTTTTTCTGGGCTTTACACTGATAAAGGGTAAATCTGATTCTGATACTATATGATACTGAAGCTGGCCATATCTATTGCAGGATAGACCCCATTGTACTGTGTATATGGAAGGAAAGGTTCTCAATAAGCTGGCATTACACACTTCTGATTGAAAGTGGTCCTACACAAGTAGATTCTCATGGATAGCTGCTTGGCTGGATGCGCTGAAACAGAGTTGATGTATGTATATGTGAACCGTTTTACCTACTGAAACATTTGCAGTTCTGTTCAGCTAACCGTATGATACTCACACCCCTGACACTATATAGTATAGCCAGACTGACACATGACTGTGTGGTGCAGCTGTGCGGGTTCCTAGTTCACCTGCCATCTCACTGGACTGGGAATTAGCAGTGTGTGAAGATGTCCTTCCAGGATTCAATGTGGAAACCAGTGCACAGGAAGCTGCCCCAGGAAACACTGATGTCAGCCGGGCTAGATAGGGTGGTAGAGGTGCAACAATCACAAGACCAGGAGAGGACAGGGAGATGGTTATGTACTTCTTCTAATGGCTGGTAGCGGGAGTCCCCTTGCAGACCATTTGCAGTTGGTTGGGTCCCAGCCTGGCGATGTGCACCACATTCACCAAGACCAATAATAAGTCTGGTAAATCGGGAAAGCCAAGAAAACCTGATATTTCTGAGTGGGCACTGACTGGTGAGTGGACGGGGTTGTACGATGGGCACAGCTTGCTTTCATATACATTCAGCTTCCTCCTGAGATCCTTCCCAGGTACTTCTGACCTCCACCCCTCCAGCTTCTAAGCTTCATTGAGCTGCTTGCTTGCTTGCATTCCTGTTGACTTGTGTGAGGAGAAAAGCAGATCTGATGCAAACAAAAGCAGATGAACACAGGCTCTCAATCACACACTTAGATTTCATATCTGTGGCTCCAAAGCCAAGATCGATCTGCTAATATTCCCTTCCCTGCTCCTCCAGAAAGTCTTCCCCACCTGCAGTAGGGTGAAGGCTCTTCACCCAAAAGGCTGCTCTAAATCCCGTTGTACTTAACCCCAGTTTGAGGAAATGGGAATTTAGATGCGAGGCTCTCACCACCACTCACCCAAGCATAGGAAGCCAATTGGTGATTCTTTCCTTCCAAATCTACCAAAAATGTCAGTTTTGGGTAAACGGACGCGGATCATTGAAATCTGATTGTTCTTTATAACGATTTACACACCCCGGCCTCTGATGCTCGTTATTGATATTTATCTAAGCACCAGCTTCACGCCCTGCCATTCCTTAGACATGAAGAAAGGTTCTGCTTGCTGAGGCCACCCATAGATGTTCGTAGACAAGTGCTCAAAGACTTCAACTCTGACAAGCACACGCATGCTTATCTACTATGAGCATTGACAGCCGAAATACAGCGTGGTGTATATGACAATGAGAGGAAAGGGAAGTTTGTAGATATCTTCTGGCTGTGTGGTAATGTACTGTACTTGGGATGTTTTAGGGCCACCATGTAATAATAGTTTTGTCCACATGGCGGCGACATTCAACACAAAGATTTAATGCACAATTCAGAGGCAGCACAAAAATCAGGGCAGAGGCACCTTGTGTTCGCTTCCTATATTAGGGTGGTTGCTATAAATGCTGGAAAAGCCGGTATATTCAGTTACTGTAAAGGAAGAGGTCTTCCATTCTGTATACTTCCATGCAGCTGACTGTTTAGACACCTACACAACTTTACTAAATAACCACATAAATGAATGCTAGCGAGCTGTAAGAACTCACGTGGGCTTCTTTAATACAAAAAAGCAATATAGAATAACCCATAGTAATAAATCATGAACCATCTTATACTCTGAATAGGAGCCGAGTGTCATTGCCTCATTATATAGATCCAGTAATAGCTGTGGCAGTCACATGAATGTGATCCATTGGACTTCCCTTAGAGCAGTGTTACACTCCTGGATAATAAGGGTTAATAATGTCTATTGCCATCTCTTTATATTCATCTCTCATTCATTCACTGCATGGGGGTTTCCCCACCACATTCACACCTTTATTGTTCAGTTGACAATGGTTTTCTGTCACACGTTTCATTCTGAACTGTAAATATTTGTTGGTTTATGAAAAGATCTTTATATTAAAAACAGATCATAAGACGGTGCGTGTTGATCATAGTATTTGTTTACATGTATTGCTTAATACATATTTATCTCAAGTGAAGATTTATTAAATATTTTTTCATTCATGAACACAGAGTATGAGTATTATTTTCACGTGTGTAGAACATATCTGAAAACTGGAGGAAAGTAAAGGTGCCAAGCAAATGATGGGTTACTGTGTAGAGGCGGATGGGTTACTGTGTAAAGGCGGCCATCTTGGTTGAGGCAGGCCACAGCAGCGAAGACAAGCTTGTGTAGCACCACAGGACAAAAGCAATGCTACCACCTGAGAAACACACCTTGCAGAGGTAATGGCTACCTTGTGAGTGAGGGGAGACAAGGGAATATCTCACATCTCGCACCACGAGAAGTATGCCTTCCAAATACGATGGTAAACCTTATAAGATGGGGATTCCTTCGCTTTTAGAAGCATAGGAATAACGAATTCAGACATGCCCCCATCCCTTAGGATCTGAGCTTCAACATCCGTAATTGTTAAAGCCAGCAACTGTGAAACAGGGTGTTACACTGGTCCTTGGGAGAGTGGACCCTGGTGATCTGAGTGAGTCCACAGATAATCTGCCAGGATGAGATGTTGCAGAACCTTTAAATCCAGTATGGGGTGCATTTTCCCTTTGGAGATGGTAACAGGTTTGAGCAGAACCCTGAAACCTTTCCTTTTCTGGAACAATGGCAATGAACCCTTGAAAGAAGACATCTCAACTCTCCAGGATGTTCCGGGACACACTGGAAGTCTGCTATTGGCTATTGCAAATTGAAATAGCAATCTAGCTCTGCATTCCTATTGGTTTTTTTTTGGGGGGGAGGGGGGTTATTTTGACGGCAGCAGCTCGCAAGGACAGCATTAGCTTCTTTGCTATCTGCCATTTCAGGGGGGTGCTATCTTGTTGTTGTACACCCCCACCCCCCACAGAGGGCACCTCCCTGAAATGACTTATTTCAGGTTGGGATCCTTGTGAAAGAATAGCTCAGCCAAAGCTGTGTGGAGGTCTGCTAGCCTTTGGGGAGAGGTTGGGAGGTTGGACAACATGAACCAGGAAGAAGCAGCTTGTAGCCTCTGGACCCATGGTCTCAGGCCAAGTAGACTCAAAGGCTAAAAGACGTCCCCCCACTCTGTTAATTGGGGTTGTCTCATTGTTCGGAACATTTGTTCTTAGGCTGCTGGATTTGGGTCCCAAACTCATGCAGGGGAATGGATTCCTGGGTTTGAACTTGGACCTAAAGGGCCTGGAAGGAAAGAAAGTAACTCTTCCTAACCTCAGCGATAGAGGGTTTCCTAGTCTGGGGTTTAGTCTTCTTTTGCTGGAGCAAGAGTGCTCCTACCTCTGGTGATATATTTGGTATAGCCTGGGGATATTTTTTCGATATATTGTCCAGGGCTTCACTAAAGCGGTGTTTCTTGTACTGATGTTCTGAAGACCAACAATTGAGCAAAATGGTTCTTCGCATGTGTACAGCCAGAAGGCCCATTTTTTTTTTAAATATGAGCCATACTATGTCTGCAAGGCCAACAACACAGTAACATAAAGCCACAGGCAAGCAGCACCAGATGAAGGATCAGTTAGGATAGATCCAGGAGCCCTTGGATTAGAGCAATGGCAGGTTGCATGGCAGGGTCCACTAGGGAGAATAAGGCCTTGAAAGGTTCTTCCAGCTGTTTAGTCCACGGGTCTATAAACCCTGTAATATCCTCCACAGGAACAGTTTTGTTCAGGCAGAAAATCACTGAATCCACTACAGAAATGGCCCACTTCTCAAGGAACTCCTCTGTAAAAGGGTATTAATGAGAAAAGCATTTGGGAGAAATAAATGCCATTTGTCTGGATTGGACCTGTCACTGTACAAAACAGGCTGTTAGAGTAAGTGTCCTGGAAAGGTTTTAACAGGCTGGTAAGTTTTGGGATTAAAGATGCAGGTTGCTCTAGACATGTGTTCAGTAGGAAAAGAAATGATACGAGTTAAGTCTGCAGACTAAACCTCCTCAGGAACACGTTCTTCCAACAAGGACAAACAGGTGGCAGCTGAATGCGTAGACAACAGTAGCTGTAGTAAAATAAAAAAAAGACTTCGGAGGAGAGGATGCAGAAGAATGCTTGGGACTCCTGGGTTCTGAATGCGCTATCATAGCTGAAAATGTTCTCATTAAGCTGCCACAATAGTAGAAATGTCCTCTCTGGATAGTACTGAGGAGGGGGCCATGCCTGAGGGAGCTAAGGTGTCAGTTCCTAAGGCAAAACAAATGACAAACGCACTCAACAATTTGTCACCAACTATAACTTTTCTGCAGAAGACGTGTATCCAAACCTCTGTTATTGACCTTAGTGGTGAGACAAGTTGTTTTACATGCTGACTTGTGAGTGTGCCATGATACCTTTCCACAGTTCCTAAGGCAGGAGCACTGCAAGCTACCTCTGAGCTGAAAAGGCCTGCTAGACTGCTTCCCTTGCACCTACCATATTGAGAGTGGGTACTCACTGACCACCAACGAAGCCGGATAGATTTAATTATCATCCATAAGGCAGCAGCAAGGGACAGATTCTGTATCTTACAAGGAGATAGCTGAGAACTTACAGGTAGAGCAATGCACACATCATGCGTCATGGCATGTAGAGTGAGTTACCGCTCAGTGTGTCTCAGGGCACGCACTCTACCTCACAAGTGTTTGCTTCGCAATGTGTCACAGATAACAGCAGGGGACACAGAGGGAAGATGTCGGGCTCAAAAGGCAGGGGTAAGGTGGCCTGGATGACCAAGGGGTCCCAGGCAAGGTACATTTGCACATCCCAGACAATCTTTGCCCCTCCGGTGAGCATACTACCAAAGCAGCCTTCAGGGACAGGATTCCATCAGGTGGGTGTTTCACAGCCCTGGATCTGTAAAGCGTTCTGCGGCTGTCACACAATGAATCGTGTCTAGAAGAGTGCCCCAGCAGAGCTCATTCCTGTAGGTCCCATCGTGGGCTTGGCCCTCTAGTTTCTCACCCTAGGGTCCGGGTATGGCCTCCGTGGCTATACCAAGGATCAGCAGATTGGGAGAGCTGCAAAGTGAGCACTTCTGGCTCTGCAGCATTTGTAGAATCTTGATAGAAGAAAAAGGATCTTGTTATAGAGGACAGAAGGAAAGAAATTGGCAGAAGATGTCCATTCTACTAGCAAAGAGAACTGAAGCATGACGGGAATGGGACGGGTTATACTTGGCTGACTTGCAGCTTTGTTTGCTAGTGTCCAATCTCCAGTAAGCAGCATAACCCAGTTGTCTAAGGTTTTATCTGTTCTGTGTCCCTTAACCCCTTCATGACTGAGGCCCTTTTTTCCATTTTTGCAACAGGAGTCTGTTGTAAGGTCCTGCGCTTGCTGGGGACCTTAGTAGCCCACGGTGGCTGTCTTTTACAGCGCCAATCCAGCCATACATCACCACCTCCTCCTTCCTGCAGAGCCCTGGTGTGATCCGGCACAGCCCTGATTAGACCTGCACATAGTTGTAGTCCCTCTACAGCTTGGAGTCAGTGGTAGAACAGGGTTGCAGCTGGGACCTGGCTCTGGCGCTCCACCACTGTCCTGAAATCATTGGTCTGTATTGTTTTAGAAAAACTGTCACATGACAATAAACAAAAATGTATCAGTTCTTGTGTCTGTGAGGACTGAAGGAAAAGTATCGGTACTCGCACTTGGTCTTTAAAAATACTAAAGATGCACAGATACCATTTTCTCGAGTCTTTAAACTCCATAGTTCTGGTTTGGGAATGCCAATGGGCTGTCACTTTAAATAAGCTGCTATCAGACTTTCAGCAAGTTTCAAGCAGTGCAGAAGCTGTCGGAAGCCTGCTGCCAGCTTACTTGGAGCGATAGTCAGCACTTTCATTTGGATTCTATTAAAGGAGAACTATGAGGTGGGTGCTTCTCACTCACCTCCTAGTTCTAGCCGACCTGTGACAATGAGACTGTCACAGGTCGGCTCAGTAGATCGGGAGGTGAGCGAACACATATCGGCGCTCGCTCACCTCTCGATCCTGTCACGGCTCTCTGCTGTGACAGGGGAGGGGCTGGATTCCCCCCTCCGATCTGCCAGCGCTGACTGGCGGAACGGACGGGTGAGGGGGTGGGTACAGCTGGCTCTGCCTCTAGATAGGCAGAGCCAGCTGTCACTCACGCAGCTGGGCGGATCTCGACATCGATGTCGGGTTCCGCTGCGGCGTCTCAGTATACCGCGAGCGGTATACTGAGCCTAGGGTGACGGGAGGACGCTAGTTTGTGCCCTCCTGTTACCCTGAGAACTATGGGGAAAAGCCCTGACCCCATAGTTCTCCTTTAACATTCCCAAACTGGAGCTAAATGTACTTTTTTTTGGTTCCCAGCTTTCACATTGCAGTGGCCGGTGCTGGCAAAGCTGAGTAACAGCCATACCCCCGGAACAGGTCCTCACACAGACTTGTAGTGTGGAGAAGGGGAGGTGTGTGTATGACCAGCGGTGCCTATTGGACTGTACAGTGCTGAAAGTGGAGGGAAGAATGCAAACATGGAAATTGCTAGTACAATGTCTATCTTTATGTCTATCTTGTCTTGAATGGCATTGGAAGTGTAATGTCCTCATATTGTAAAGCGCTGTGCAAACTGTTGGTGTTCTATAAATCCTGAATAATAATAATAATATCTATTTTGTGATATCAATTGGCCATTGAGCTCTATTCTCTTACGAATGGTTTTAGATTTTCCTTCTAATGACTGCAGAACCAGTTGCACCAGCGCCACTTGTGTGTTGCGAACGTCCCGTGTGGTCCAGACAGATAAAAGACAAAGGGCGCTCAGCACAGACACATTTATTCAGCTTTGCTTTGTACACGCAGAATTTGAAGCAAAATAAAACAAATATACAAATACATTAACAAGCGTTGTCAATTGTAACTGGCACTAGTGTTATAAGCGGATCAAACTGGTGAGTAGAATCACGGTATTGGACTGCAGCACATGGCAAAACATTGTAGAGCCACCCAGTAGCACCGTCTTGGCAATACTTACAAGAAACCCAGCCCGCACTCTTTCTATACTGACACCGGCTTTGCATTGGACTACCCAGCACAGATGAACAGTACGGACGCTCTGACCACCTCACAGACAGCTAGACTCGTTACAGTTTTCCATGTCACGTGTCTATGCATTTCCTCTAAAGCCTGAGTGAGTCTTTGGTAGGTAAATACATTTTTTTTTTAAATTACATACATTGGTTTTCTTTTCTTATCTACCACAGTCATCGATAGTCCTGGGGTGTTTCATCAAATCCCAGGTGGCCATAGAGGACTATAAAGGAAAAAAATAAAATATTAAAATTCCCATACGACCAGGCACTTAACTCCCAGTCTTTGCTGAAGGCACCGAAATCATCAACAGAGGGTGGTCTGCTCCCTAACAGAAAGGTGACGCTGCCCTTCATTACCTCGGAGTGACTGGTTTTCACTAGTGTCGTGTGGACGCCATTTTGTGTTCTGTATTCTTAACGCAAGCGATGACGGGGGGAAAAAATCAAATACAAAATAAATGACATTTTTCAGACTTCTAGTCAAAATGTACCAGTCACTGTTTGTGCAAAAAGAAAGAAAATAAATAAAAATGCATTAAAAAAAAACCCCCAAAAAACTTTTGCTAACAGCACGACTTGAATTCACCGCGAGGACATCAGCAGTTCTCCGATCTGCAAAACTAACATTTCCCTCAACCTCCAAAACCTGGAATGAACTTTAACCCAGAATAACAAGTGACCCTGTTTATTGAAACTTGAACGGCAAAATCCATTCTGACCTGCTGCCAATCTGGGCCCCTGCGCTGCACATAAAGCTTGCCGACTTCTGTCTGCAGATAACTTTGTACTTTCCGCTAAATGCAGACCGAGCCAAACACTGAAAGTCGGGGAAACCGTCACCCTCCTCAGGAATGGCGGCTTATAGCCACAGACGTGCCTTTTGCTGTCTAGGTTTGAAGAAGGAACATTAAAAGGGGAAGGTTTTCCATGGTCTTTATTGATGTGGTTTCCCCGAGTGGCTACCCGGCTTTATTATTAGCAAAGCTTTCCATGTGAGCAGAACTGGTTATTGGTAGAGAGTAGGGCTGCAGCAATAGGAGGCCTAGATGTCAGTCTGGATTGCGCAGTTGCCTTCTGTATTTGGATCGCTCTCTCTGTCCGTCTCTCGCTCCTCCCCCGAGGAGTTTGGTATGCTCTGCCTGACGCCTTCCTCTGCTATATAACTCAGCTGTGGGACGTCTGTGCACGGTACAGGGATGGTGATGGACACGCCGCTTGGCTGCGGGGAATTCTCTAGCCGGTCGTTCTCTACCTCGGGGAGCGGGCTCACAGTCACAAAGCGAGTGTGGTACTCGTTGGAACCGTGGCTGCAAGAGGTTTTCATGCTCTCCATGTCGGAGCAGCTGAACTCTGAGAAATGGCTGGAGTGAGAGTCTGCCACGGACGGTAAGCTGTCGCTGAGGGAAGGAGAGTCACATTCACTGGAATGGGTGCTTTGCTGCTCCAGGAGCTGAGCGTCCATGTCCTCCCGTGTCTCGTTTATTTTGGTGCTGCTCTTCTTTCTCAGCTTGCCTTTGCATTTTTTGCTGGCTGTTGCATCTTTGGACCACTTGGCGGCGCTGCATTTGCTCTCAGCTTGGCAGGTTGCGGATCCGCTTACATTACTGCGACTGGGAGCGCTGCCGTCATCGACGCTGCTGCCGCCGCCACTGTTGTGCCTGAATTTGGCTGGTTTAGACTCGATGTCCACTTGTACTTCCATACTGTTACCTTCCCTGCAACACATTAGTTCAAAAAGGTTAGCAATGGTTTTATCAAACAGCAGGCTCAAAGAATAAAGTTTTACCGAGTTTTGGACAGTTTAAAGAAAAGTTAGAGCCTCTGTCTGGTCTTTACTGATCCAACCTCATATATATCCTGAGCACCACTATCACCAGGAGAGAAAGTGTGTGTGTGTGGGGGGGGGGATGTCAAGAGGTTGGATTTCTCCTCCTTTTGGGGGATTTCCACTTCCCGTTGGAAGAAATCAGGAAAATCTCCTTGATGGGGGACCGAGAGGCCGATAAAAAGCAGAGACAGGTTCTAACACTTCTAAGTTTAGCTATATGACATGAGGCCATCACAAATTTCCTCAAAAATGTTCGGATCAGGTAACGGATCTCAAAGTCTGTGTGCTCAGAGTTACATTTTATTGGTGAGCTCAACACAATCTAACAGTCTTTGGTTGGCTTTAAGCTGCCCACAGATTTAGGAGGGAGGTTCTGCAGACACAATCCAACCGCTCTTTGGAGGAACCATCTGCAGAGCCCTCAAAACTGTCACTTCTACCAGCCGTACAAGTTTATGTCTATGGAGAGAAGAGGGGAGGTGCTGCCTTATGGGGGTAGGTACATTTTACACCTACTATCAGAAGGTGATTTTTAAAGTGGCCCGGGCAATTTGAGCGGACCTTGCATTCTACTGCAACATCAGTTTTAATGCTCTACTTACCCTAGAAGCACCATCTACTTATGAGGGGATTGCCCTTAATAGGATGAGACCTAGCAGTAAACTCTGCACATTCTACAAAATGGCTCCCTTCACTGTGTACCATATTGATATCAGTGACACCAACTCCATCATAAGCAAACAATCCGCACTTTCAATGCAACTACCGCCCATGGAAACAAAGTACCTGTCCAGCGGGATATAGGAATTCAGAATGGATCCAGCCATGGCTTTGGTGCTTGCATTGTCACTGATTGTTCCTAAACTCACAGTGCCGGATTCTCCACTCAGACTGTATCTCTCCTTCTGAATGTCGGCCTGGACTTCAAGCCTGCAAGGAGGGAGACGAACATTAGGCGCAGGAAACATTGGACCAAATCCAACTGGTCAATGTACCACCAAGAATCACAAAACCATTGGCAGGGATGGGAAACAACTGGACATTTCATTTTTTTCAGGGTGCACAATGAGCAAGTATGGAGTAAAAGTCTGACTGCTTAGTCATAGGATAGATATCATCAGAAAACAATCCCCGTCACTGATCCTAATTAGACAGTTTCAACATTTGATGCTAAAAAAATCTTTTTTTGTGGTTGTGTACATATATAATTCTTATTATAAGGCATTTATATAGCAACAAGTGTTTGTGCAGTGCTCTACAAAATAAAAAGAGGGCCTTGCTTGCAAGAGCTTACACTCTTAAGGCAAAGCCACACTACTGCAACCAAGCACTACTGCAAAGTGTGATCCTGGACACTTTACTATCCGAGCTTCCAGAGATAGATAGATAGATAGATAATATATATATATCTATCTATCTAAGAAATGTCTGTTAGTATGTGATAATGAAGGGAACTGTCCCGAGTGTGTGGCTGGCGGTTCTTCTGGCTCTGCATGAAAGAAGTCTCAGACATGCATTTTATGAGTACAGATGGAATCCATAATGCAGTCTCCACGCGTCATGTGAATACTTTTATTGCTTAGCACAGAGGAATGGATGGAGAAATTCTAGGAAGGGTAAGATGGGATGCATTAGAAAGAATACAAGTAACTGCAGAACATAAGAACAGAAGGAAACAACAAGGGGACACATTAAGATAGGAAGAGATGGTGATTGTTAGGCAGGTGTAAAGCCGAACATTCATCCCAGTCAATACCAGAGGGGTTCCAGGTATGCAGGAGCTTGAGGCTTGCTCCTGGTGACGGGCCCAGTTATATCAAATTGGTAGGGAGAGTCCTCAGACTTGTGCAAGTCAACTGGAGTGATTAAAAGCTTCCATGGGCCTATCTTTCTTTAATCCTTGGAGCTGAATGGTGGAGGAGTGAAGGAAAAGGGGTCAATGTGCTCCTGGGGAGGGGGTGGGGGCAATGAAGTCAATCTAATGCTTTGCTCTATATGGAAGAAGCAAACTTTCACTTTAAATGTTTCAAAGAAGTAGGATGGAAAGGTGCACAGGGCATGATTTGCTAAAGACTTGCGTTCACATGCGGTCCCTGATCTCAGGCAGGAAGTTCACTTTTGAATGTCTGTAATAGCGGACGGGTTCACTTTAATCTGGTCTGCAACATTAATTACCCCCCAACCATGCCAGGACAGGAGAGATCCCGATAAGATCTCATACTGATAAGCTACATATACCGAACACCTCAACTAGTCATGTATGCCAACCACAGATCCACTGAGGGCTCCAAAAAGAGAACTCGAGCCTCGCGCCAATGTTGTTTTACCCTGAAGCAGAGATGTAAATATTTTATAACCGGCTTTTCAAACAGTCCGATTCTAAACCCAGACAAGAAAACTATGATTCTCTATGAATATTTTACATCCTTCCCAAAGTCTACCCCCTCCGTGTACTACACAGTATTAATGGCTTGTCCGCTATGAGCCAAGAACACTGGTGTGCAGCAACCAATCAGATTTCAGCTTCCATAAGTTTAGAGTGATCAGAAAAGGAAAGATGATTGGCGGCTCAGTGTGACGGCACTTTGTCAATGACTGACACTAGACTTGTATAGCTCTGGTCTCTGGACACCGCTGCTGCCAAGAGCTTCGGGTGAAGGTCTCATGCCATTAATTTGGCAGAGCCTGAGTGAAGTGTTCAATCCGGCCATTATCTGCGGATCTCCAGCGTTCCGGGAACACAGCAGAGTAATCAGTACATCAATCACTTCTATGAGAACAAACCATTTTCCTGTTTATCTGAAGACTCGCTTCTCACATTTACAGCACAGCAGAGCTTTGTTTTCATCAGAGATCTCCGGCCAATTCCAGGGGAACGGCAGCTTAACCTTTAAACAATGCAAAACCGATACTTTGTGATGTATATGATGATACAAAGGGTTATGTGTCCCATGCTCACTGATCATCACGTTCCCATCTGATCCTGCATTTCATATTTCTGTTTGTCACATGTGACACCATTTAAATATGTGACTCCCTGTACTTCTGTTCTAGTTCTTCTACAAATGCTTCATAAAAATCTATCAAACGTGAAACTCCAAAGTGATGGCAGATAACAATACAAACCACTTCTGCTCTGTATTGTATCAGTATTCTTATAATAATATTCAAGTCAAAAGGTTTTCTAAGCTATTTCAAATGCTGATGAAATCACGTACAATGGATGCTGCTCCTTCATCTTTAAAAGTTTTAGTTTCCTGCAGAACCATCTGGTCTCCTGAGCTCTGGCCCTGATATCCTGTCTTAGGGTGGCTCTTGCCCCTTGCAGGGTCCTATGCAGCCGCCCTTGTGTGTGCTCTCCACAAACACAGCAGGGTAATCCCCTCTCCTGATCCCCCCCTCCAAGCTAGTAGATGAACGGCTACTGGAGACTGCTCTGTCCCTTGTGATCTTGTACTGGACGAGACGGAAGAGAAGGGAAGCTGAGCTGAGAGAGTTGGAGCTCTTCAGAAACATGATGACTGAGTACTTGGACAAAAATATAAAGAAATATTTTGCTGGGCAATGTATATTTGTTTGATGGGGATTATTGAAAGGTTTGAGAGTTTAATACCACTGTACCAGAGATGTAAACTCTTAGGAATGAGTACAAAAGCCTAACTTCCTACCCATCAACATGCAGGGAAAGTGTAAACCCCAGGATAGGGGATGAGGTACGGTGTGTGTGATGGCACCAATAGCTCAGACACACATAATGTAAAGATAAACAGATCTCTAGGTAACACAGAAAACACTCAACAAATACATAGTGACAGATGCAGACTGGGTTTATGTTTTCATTGTTCGGAATCAGGAGGTGTGAGGAAGGTGAAATGTTATTTACCTATTAAAACAATTCACCATGGCGCTCCCGGAGAGGCTGCCAGTGATGCTGGCTCCTGCCAGGGCCATGGTACTGGCTGTTTCACTCAGGTTGTCCCGGATTGCACCGATCCTATCCATGTGACTTCCACTGGCACTCAAGCTGCCCGTCATTCCTCCCACGCTTCCTTCCCCGATACTGGGGTTGTGACGAGCCTCAGCTACAGATGTGGCATCTAAAACAAAACAGACACATTGTTGGAGCAAAGCATACAACCCGTCCATGCTGCAGACCGGCAATGTACACAACAATCTACCGTCAGCCTCCTTTAGCTGTGCGGGATCTGTAAACCCCAGCAAGCAATACCAGGAGCCAGCAAGGAATGTCGGGACATGCAGCTTCTCCACTCCTGAATGGCTGCATGCTGGTCCCCAAACTGAGGCCTACAAAATCCATTCACCATCATCATAGTTGTATTCTAAGAACACTAATCTGACAAAGCAGCTAAAAATCCCTAAAGAGAACCTCTTATCACGTTTACCTCCTTTTGTTACAGTGGGAGATGCCCGCATCGTCCAACACGTCACGTGGATGGAGACATTACAGCTTACGCAATGTTCTCATTGCACCATGGGAGTTATTTTCCAGCTCAACAAAGACATGACAGGAAGGACTGGACAACTTAAAGTAGAACTTAAGTTAAAACGTGTTTGAATAGAGTAAGGGAGGATTATAACCCCTGCCCCATCTGTGTCACTTCCTCTCTGACTACCATAACAAGAAGTGAGAGGAAGTCCCTCCAATGTGAGGGATATCCCCTCTTAGAAAGTCCCCATCGGCAGATTTCCCCTCTTTTGCTGTTCTGGTGGCTGCTTAAAAGTTGGCATTTCCATTACGTTCACTCATGATTGTAATAGTCACCAGGACAAATAGAGAGGGAGGATGGAGACACGGCCAGCAATAAAAACCTGACAGGTGTTCTAATCCCCCTCCATTCTATCCAAAACTAGAAAAAATAAAGTTTGGGCTGAGGTGGCGCTTTCATTTATAAGGGGCCTGAACAGTAGGTAATGTTTGTCTGAAAATGCTTTGGGGTTTTATAATGAGGCCGGGTTGAGTGAATCTGTCTCTGAGTTTTATGCAATGCGGCCGAGTACGATGGAACCATCGCCTTGAAAGTTTACTTTCCCCCGAAGCAGAACGCGTGCAGTTACCACTTTCTACCACAAGGTGGAGCAGGTTGTCATTGCACATCGAGTCCAGGGAGTTACCAGGGGAAGTGATCACCACACATTTTTCCTGACATGGAATGAAGGAAATACCGCCTGGCTTACACTAACAGGATGGAGAAACTGACCGCAGGACACTTTGTGGAGTTTCCCCGCTAGCAAAGTAAACAGCTTGAGTGGAAAGAACACAGCTCAGGTTGATGGGCAGTAAAAGCTCTGTGTATTACCTATACTCGGCTATTCAGTGACCGGGGACAGCCAACTGGAGCCTGTGTGCCGGGAAACATTCAAGTTGCGCAATTTGGACCATTTTTAACAAGGAGCATTTTCATCTATAAAGCTGGCTGCCTGTATACTGAGTGTGGGGGGTCCACTGCGAGACATTAACCTTACATTACAGAGGACAAGTCACCCCCTTATGGGCCCACCTATAACTGGGTGATATTCTGTGTTTGCAGGAGAGCACATCTCTACCTCCCCCCCAACTTCATCCATACTCCCC